CGTTTTCAGGCTCCCAGGTTAACCTATAAAAAGTGACTGAGAGTTCTCTGCATCATAATCAGCCATGACACAGCAGAATGCTGATGCAATCCCCGTAATTTTCGCTTAATTAAATGTAATTCAAGGCTTCCATTTGGATCTCTGTGTGCAGAGACCACTTAACAATTTACTAATGGATAGTGGAGTAGCGTCCGTGGAAGTTGTCAGCGTTTAGAAGCTTTGGAGCTGAATGACACAATTTGATGGTTACAAGTCCTCAGAAATGGCTGTTAACTTGTGAGTTCCTCGGTCACTGACAGGGGCCTCTCTTGGCATACCATTCATTGTTGATTTTCAAAATCAAAAATATTGGTAATGGAGCAGGGCGCCCCCTGGTGCCGGCAGCGGTCTCTGTTACTGGGGGCAGCAGCGAGAGTCAAGGAAGTAACCTTGATTGGCGAAACTCATACTTTCATTCGAAGAACTTAAGGTTTCAGTTAGTGCTCCGCTGGTTTTTATGTAGTTGTGGATGTTCTTTATGTAATATTCTTACTGAGGCGATGATCGCTTTCTTATTGGGTTCTGAGTAGAGGTTCACCGATCCGATATTCGGATCGGTATCGGCACTGATTCAGACCTATTAGACGAATCGGGTATTGGCCGTATATGACCGATCCACGTCCGATACTTACTCATTTAGGTTTTGACAGTCTGTATAAATAGCTCTTATTTCTTGTTAAATTGATTTGTACAATCAATCGCATAATCTCTCTTTCCCATTTTAGATGTTTTTTTGCGGCATTCAAGTTGAACGCTAACACTGCAGCTCAGTCTGTTTGCCACTCAGTGGGTGTGAACGCAGTGACTCCCGCCTGCTGTGACGTCATGGGCATACCCTTCACAGTACGAGGAGCGTACAACATCAGAGGGTGACGATCTGCAAGTATTTGACGCTTTTAACAGCAACTAGCAACACAGTGATTTGCAATCTTTGTAAAAACAAAGTTTTGAGAGGTGGGAGTAGCAGACAGCGCGAGTAGAAAAGCGATGGATGATTCGGGAGTCATCAGTAGGTTGGGCTGTTTGTCGCGCTTGCTGCAGATTTTGAGACAGTGGTGGGAGGGGCGTTTTAAGTAATCGCCACTTGTGTATCTTCGCTTGTAAAATATTCAAATTAAACTGCAAATGCCTCAAAACGCTTAAAACAAGACGGACAAACGAGGTGAAACATTACGTTATGTATGCTTGCAGTAGCCTAATTAAAGATTTTTGGCATATATTTTTTCATTTGTATTAACTAGTTTTGAAATATTATGAATAAATACGGCATAATATAAATTACATAAAATTGTTAAAAAGTACTCCTGTATCGGAATCTGTATTGATCGGCAGTTGTTTATTGTAATAGGATTGGAACTGAAATAATGTGTATCTGCCCATCCTTAGTTTTGAGCCTTGAACATCGTGGTCTTCTGAAGCATCATGCCTGTTTCACACCATTGGAGGGCAGGATGAGCAGCAGACCACATTATCCCCACTACCTACCAGTGTGACATTAGCAGGGACGCTTTGGTCATGTCCCCATAGCTAAACCAGGTCACAGAAACCAGTTTCACTTCATTCACGCCCCTGGATTTTATCTCCTGTTGTTATAAAGTGGATGAGGCCACTTAACACCCACATCAAGTTAAGCACGAGACCCCACCGCTACACACGACACACTCCGCTTGTCGAGGAGTGACACTGAGGATTTTACATAAGCCCCAGGACCTCTGCATGTCCCCGGACACGTAGACGCCCGCGGGAAGTCCCTGCCCTTTTGTTTATTGTATTCTCTGCCAAGCTTATTTATTTTTTTGCCTCTGAGGAGCATTGCTGACCTCCCACAGACGACCATATCTGAGACCAGCTCTGATCTAGCGGTATGGACCAGCTTGAGTGCTGGTGTGCAGCCCGCGTTCAAGAGATCAGGCATATTAGGGGTGAATTGGTGCTTTTTTTTGTATAGCCAGTATCGCCTTCAGTCCTTACTTTGTTCCACAGCGCAGTCTTAAGGGCCCTCCTCCTTTATCTTCTGCTTTATTTGGACTTGAGGACCTTCATGGCCTCCGGAGGCCTCCTGCAGGGTGTCATGCCCAAAACACAGGCTCTCGGTGAGTCACACACGCAGGCACCTAAAACGCTGCCAGCCCCAGGACGGATGCTGGGAAGCACCCCGTTGTGTTGAGATGGGACTTCCAGAGGGACTACCCCCTCCCCCTTA